CAGCAGCTGCAGCACAGCCAGGCCTCGCCAATCCTCCCACCCCCGTCTCCACTGGGACACCCAGGTCTCAGCTCCGCCTCCATAGTGGCACCACTTCTTCTGAAGATGCTGCCTACTTCTGCCCCCTCCATTTCTGGATTCTCCAAAGCAGCTCCCGAAGAGGCAGAAGGCAGGGAAGCAAGCCCAGGCCCCTGTCCCAGCACCAAGTCCCATGCGACCGTCACCTCCCACTTCACCCCTACACACCTGCCTTACAGCACCACCACACATCCCAAAGCCACAGGGATGAACTATTTACTGCTGAGGACGCTGAGATCAATGGGTGAGGCTTGTCCAGAGCCATCCAGCCGGTAAGCAGAGGAGCCGCGACTGAACGCGGGGCCTCAGACCCACAGGAGACGTTCTCGCAGAACTGAGCTATTTTCAAGTGCTGCTCAGTAAGTCACACAATGACCACTGGTGCTGACTTCGAGTGAGGGCAGACCTGCTTGTTTATCAACCTTACACCCACAAAGGGACGATGACCAACAAGCATTTCCAGGCAGAGTGCCTATGTTAGTGAAAAACATTAAGGGCCCAGGAGACTGCTGGTTTGAGGAGAGTCTTTAAAACGGGTCAGCACCAGGACCAGCAGATAGCATAATGGTTACATTGCTGGACTCCCACCTAGTCGACTGCAGTACCAGACCCAGCAGCTTAAACTCAGGCTGGGCACTTGTGCATGCGTGCCCAAAATCCCAAGAGGAGGATGGAGAAAGGATTGCGGCGTGGCCACCCCAGGGGGGCTAGTTTCTCATTTTCTGTCTGTCTCTCTGTCTTTCCAGTGAGTGTATGCCCTATAACAAATCTCTCTCTTAAAAACAAACAAAAGAAATGGTCAACACCAGAGCTGACTTTAGGTGGAGTCAGAGGACCTGAGAGGGGAAGGAGGGGGACCAGCAGTTGGTGTAATGGCTATGTCACTGGACTCCCATGTTGTCATCCATGGTTTGAGTCCCAGACCTGGTGACTTAAACTCACACTGGGCGCGTGTGTGTGCATGCCCACAATCTGAAAGAATGGAGAAGGGATTGTGGTGTGGTCATCCCCTCGGGGGGGGCGGTTTCTCTCTTTCTGTTTGTCTTTCTGGCGAGCACACATGCCCTATAGCAAAAACCTCTCAAAAAGAGAGGAAGGACCGACACTCCTGGATCATGGCCTCCGGGTCCAGATGCAGCCAGCACACAGGACCTGCCCTGCAGCTCAATCCCTGCAGACAGGCAAGTGCACAACCACGCTGAGGCAACTCTCCCACTCGTCATTCTCAAAGCTGTCCTCCGGCTGCCTCCCCGTGCCACCTGTCCATCTCTGAGCACATCGGAGGGCCAGGCGCTGCGCTAGGACTCTGTACATACAGCCGCAGGAGGTGGGTTCCACGGGCCCCTGCACAGGGGTACCGAGTACCACCTGGTGGGTGAATGAATGAGAGCAGGTGCTGGGCCACATCTCACGGCCAGGAAGGCAGCACCAGGCCCGGGAGAACCGACTGCCTCTGTGACCACCTGGCGTCCACCTCAGGAGACTGCATGTTCAGTCACCCTGCAACGTTTTTTTTGGGTGACCTACGGCCTATTATGTTCCTATTCCACTTCTGGTCCCTGAGCTGACCTTCCAGTGATCCCATCCCCTTGGGCACACACCTCCCAAACCCTGCTGGCCACACTCACACCAGCAAAGGACACTGGGGCAGGTGCCCCTGATACCAACATCTGCAAGCTCAGAGGTGTGAGGAGAGTTGGGTGGGAAAGGCCGTTAGATACGTTCCCACATGGGAGTCTCCCTGAAGATCTCAGCTGTCACTTCGTTAGAGGGGGGCTCCCTGAAATGTGGCCAGTGCAGGACCCACTGCACCCCAGCCAGCCTGGTCTGTGTTTCTTACACAGCCTGCTAGGGTGGGTGTCAGACCTCTGCTGTCATGAGGTGGGGCTTGTCGTCGCCATCTGCAGAGGAGGAAACAGCCTCAGAGAGCAGGCGCCAGAGTGGGGAGCAGAGGTCACTGGCCCATCACAGGAAGCACCAGGCTGGTGCACCTTGTGAGTCCGGCACTGGGCTGGGCCTGGTCCTTAGCAGCCCTCAGCAAATATCCAGCAAATGATCACTCAGGGACTGGACCAGCTCATTTTCTTAGAGGAGTGACTTGCCCGGCTGCCCACTGGGAATGACCCAGGAGCAGGGCCACTCCTAGGACTCAGACCTCTGCTCTCATTCTCGGGAGTAAGCACACTGCCCTCCTGCCAGCTGCCCTGCCGTGAACCCTGAGACAGCAGTAACTGGTCACAACCAGCCTCTCACTCAGTCCAGCCCAGCCCTCAGACTCCCTCAGTGAGGCACTCCAGTCTGCCCTCAGAGCAGGGCTGGCACAGGGGGAGCCTTTTTTGCCATTCTGACACATCCTACAGGGAAAGCCTCTGAAAAGTGTGAGCCCCTCCTGAGCCCAGCCCTGGATGCACACCTTACAATGACATACTGATGAGCTGCCCCTGTCTCTCTTAGACTATTCTGCACCCTTTGAGGGAAAAGAACAAAGTCAAAGGTCAAGGTGGGGGTGAGGGAAGTGAGGTGGAGAGCACAGGTGTATGTATGAGAGTGACAAAGAATAGCAGCAGAACCAGAACAAAACCCAGGAAGCCTTCCCTTTCAGGGACGGACAATTACACTCGAGCATGCAGTCGGGTGGGAGGAAGGATGGAGCCTGCAGGGGAGCCCAGGGCGGCCATCTGCGCCTGGAAGCAAGGACTGCAGCCTCTTGGCGCTGCCCAGGGAGCAGGCTCATCCAGTCACTCTCCCCACCCTGGCCCCTGACCTGTGCTTCCTGACTCAGTGGCCAACAACTCCACCCTCCTGGTGACTCGTGCCCAGACCCAAGACCCCAGATACCACCTCCTCGACTTCTAACATGTCACTGATTGCTCACTTGGTTTTCAAAACACTGCAGACTTCCTGCAATGACCCTCCACTGCCTGAACGATGAGGCTCTAGCCACCTGTCTGCCTCCTATCCTGGGCCCTGACCAGGGGGCCAGTTCTGGTACGTCCAGCTGGCACCAGCAAGGCCTGGAGTGGATTCTCAACAAGGGATCCCCGTGAAGACCTGGAAGCTGCACTTGTGTAAACTGCCACCACTAGTTCAGGTAGATTCTAAGGCAGCAGGGTCACAGCAAGGTCCACTTCCCAGAGAGGAGAACATGAGGAGACTAGAGAGACGGTGGCTTCATTGCTGTCAGGGACCCGTGTCAGGAGAAAACCAGAAAATCAGAACAAATGGTTGCTGGGTGAAGTGTAGAAGACATCCCCTCTGCCCCTTCTACAAGGGGTGGGAAATAGTGTACGTCCATCAAAGGGACTCTGATGACAAGCTAGTTCAGCACCTCTGCTTTAAAATGAGTAAAGCAACGAGCCAGGCAGTGGGGCTGCAGTAACGCCAGGACTCACACAGCCAACACCCTGATTTGCCTCCTGGGGCCTTGCTGGGCCCACAGGTTGCACGTATGTATGCCCATGATCTGGGCTGGCTAAGACTGGGACGTGTGAACATCCTGTTGGGGATACTCCTCCATGGAATAAATGAGCCTTAAACAATGAGCAAAGTGGGGCCAGCAACTGGCCTGGTAGTTAAGGTACTAGATCCCACGTGGCTGACTGTGCGTGTGGCTAAAAACTACTCCAGGAGCATGCACGCGCATTCCCAAATCCCAAGAGAATGGAGGAGAAGGGATGCCCAAACAGCCATCTCCCCTGGGGTGGTGCTTTCTCACTTTCCCTCTCTCTGACAAGTGTACACACCCTATAGCAAACTTTAAAAAAAAAAAAAAAAAGAGGAAAGTGGGGTGCTGAGAAGGAAAGTGACTTGCCTAGGCTCCCAAAATGAGGAAACTGAACACAGACACCAAGGCAGAGTCCCTTGAGCCACAATTAAGTAATCAAGGAGTATTTGGAAAGTCAAGAGAGTCCACTAAAGTAACACAGGAAACAAAATAGCAAGTATTCAAAGGGATAAAGGAGGAACCGATTTTCGATGTTCGCATTTCCTTACTAGGCAGGCTTCTAGGGGCCAGGAGGTAGCACAGTGCTGACGTAGCAGGGCCAACACAGAAGAATCCCGTGGCCACATCCTGAGACCACCTCTGAATACACACAGCAGATCCGCTCTGCTGGGGTATCTGTGTCTCTCTCTCTCATGAAATAAAAAAACTATTGGGGGACAGTAGACTTCTAGACCAAATAGGAGAGTGGCCCGGAAGCCACTGAAACCCTCCCCATCGCTACCACAGCTTTTTTTTCAGGACCTCTCTCCTTGGTCATTTACACCAGCATATGAAATTGGGAATCCACAAGGACTTGAGAGCTCTAAGTCCTGTCATTCCCAAGCCTCGCGGTACATGAAAGAAATTCCATGTCTTACCCTAGAGCAACCGAATCAGAACATATGGAAGTGGGGCCAGGAAACCATGACTTAAAAACTTCTCCCAAATAGTTCTGACCCAGAAAGGGGACAGACTAGGACTGGCAACCACTTAGGCCCTGCGGCCCCCTCACATGCTAGACAATGGAACAGAAGCCAGGGAAGGGGGATGATCTGCCCCACATAACAGTGAATTAGCGGTGGGCCCCATCTAGGAGTCAGGCCTCCTGATTCTGGGTCAACCACACCCAGCAGCCTCATCTCTGATCAGAACTCTCCCCCACCACCCGGAGCCAGTTACCTCTGCAGGCCAATAAGCTTCCACTTCTGAAAATCCAGAATGTGCAAAGGGGAGGAGACCCAGTGCTTCACAGGTTTGGCATAGCGGCCATAGTTGGGGACAAAGATAGACAACGCTGTCACGAGCTTCCTAACTATGGCCTCATCTTCCCCCAGGACCACGAGTGTCCTCCCACTGAGCAGGGAGTAGATGGCTGGATGGGCAAAAGGGTACTGGCGGATGAATTTTAAGGCGTTCTGGCCAGCCCTCTTTTTATGCCTCTCAGAAGATGAGCAGGAGGGATGAGCAGAGGAGGGTATCCTGTCCGAACTGGTGGAGGCCACACTGCTTACATAGCTGGTGGTATCTGAGTAGTTGTCCAAGCTGGTCTTACTGACATCCCGGCTTGCCAGCAGGTGGTTTGGGTCCAGCTCATAAGCTGGGAACCCTTCACAGCTGTTATCACGGGATGAAGGACTAGCATTTTCCACTGTGAAGTCCACATGGAAGCCCTGGTCCTTCTGCCTATAGCTTTGTGGGGGGCTGCTCACCACCCCATCCTCATCATAGTGTGTGTGGGCTGGAGGGGAGAATGGCCCCAGCTGACCATCACTCTCCTGTCCAATGCAGCAGGAGGAGTCTATTTGCGATGGGGTGTTCTCCAAGCTGCCCTCCTCTGTCTCACCCAGTTCTGGTGGGCTGGTGCTTGCCTGGAAGTGGATGGCTCCCTCATTATCACCTGCATATGATTCTTCTTCATTAATGGCACTTGGGTAGCTAGCCTTAAAGTCGTCAGGGATGAGAGCCTCAGAGGGGCAGGTGCTCAGGACTTCAATGCTGTCCTCACTGATGGTCCTGTGGCTGACTGCTTTGCTCCGGATCACTTGGGGGCTCAATGGTACTGTGAGGCTGGCCTGGCTGTCAGACTTAGACAGCACAGAGGTGGACTTCTCTGTGCCCAGAACCTCGATGCTTTCACCACTGCTGACGCTCCCTTTCATATCCATATCCAGGTAGTCCAAGTTTTCCTGGGGGTCAAAACTGTTCAATTCTGCCACTTCTGCATCCTTGTATTCCTCATCTCCAAGTTCCTGCTCCATCTTGATCAGCACAGACTCCACACTGGACTTGTAGGAACCAACGCTAATTAACACTTTAGGGATTGGGCATTCTCCCAGAGACCTGGAGGGCAGCTGGTCTTCACTGGGCTTAGAGGATACATTCTCTTGTTTCTCCACCACCCTGTCATCAACTTCCACAAAGTCTTCAAAAAGGAAATTTGTTATGTGCTGCTGCTTTAGAAGTGCTCTGTCGATCTGACTGGTCAGGAGGTAGCACAGGTCTCCTCTGAACATGTGTTCAATGTGGCTGAGCTGAGCCAGGGTCTGGGTGAAATATTCAGTGTCACAGAGCTCCTCCAAGGTCTTCAATTTCTTGTCAAAACATTTGGTGGACTTTGCTTTGATTAGTTTTGGGGTGTAGGCTGGTCTGCAGGTGTAAAGGTCAGTCTCAGCAGACTCATCAGGGTTAGAGGTAGAGGATACCTGGTCAGCCTGATCTGAGGTTTGCTCCATTTCACCAGAACACAAATCAGACCCCTTTGACTTCCGATGAGGGTATGAGCGGATCTGCTTCAGCAGATCTTGATGTTCAATGATGGACTTTTCCACGCTGGCTAGTTCATTGGCTTTCTCAATTGCTTGAGAGGAGTAAAAGCCTTTGTCATTGGCTTTCTTCTGGATCTCTGTTTCTGTGTGTAGCACTGTCCTGGTGTAATCCAAGTCTTTCAGCTTTTTTTCAAGTTCCCCAGCAAATGCCTTCCTATTGCCTGTCTTCAAACACTCAGAGGCTTTGGAAAATTCAGCTGAAAGCTCCTGGAACTGCTGCATGATTTTATGCTGGTCTGCAGAGATATAAGCCATGCAAAAAGGCCTCACGAAGCCTCGGGCTTCCAGGTCATACAGGGTAAGGTGATGCACATAGGCAAAGGCTCCCTCTTTGGAGTCTCCTAGCACCACCTTTGAATCCTCCACGAAGTTCAGCTTGGGGTATGCAGAACCAGGAGGATGGCCCACAAAAGAAGCCTGGTAATCCACAGACATGATCCGCAGGGAGAAGTAATTGAGATCAAAAGTGCCAAAAACTTTGGTGTCATTGGGGATGGTCAGCAAGGGCTGTGGTCCCACCTGTTCCGAGAACTCCGAAATAAGGATGAAATCCCTCGAGAACTTGGCCCCGGACAGTTTGGACCATGGGTTGGCTCCCTGGCTGGCGAAAGGGAAGAGAGGCACCGAGTACTCCTCGGGCAGGGCCGGCTCATTGTAAGGTTCTTCCTCATATTCGTCTTCTTTGGTGAAGGCCACCACGTCAGGGGCACTGATCATATTTCCAGATATACGGAGAGAACATTGAGAGGAAGTGGGAAAGAATGCGGGCTTGAACCCAGGCCTCTGGGAAAGGAAGCCAAGTCCTTACGGCCTTCTTTGCACTCCCAGGGGTCTTGCGCTGCCTCTCACACATCCATGGTCTGGAACACCTGCAGCCCCCTCAGAGGTGCCGCTTTCCGGGAGACCTCAGAGGCAGTAAGAATTCCGAGACCCGCAAGAAAGTAGAGGGGACTGGCTGCCCTCCTCTTTTCCTCCAGCGAGCGCGGCCAGCGCAAGGCACCCGCAGCGAGGTCACCGCACTGTCCCGAACCTACCGCGACAGCAAAGGCCCGGCCCTGAACGGGTGCCTAACGCGGAGCTACGGGTCCCCACAGGAGGCAGCCAAGCATTGACGCAGCCGCCGCCCCGCCGCCCCCGCCGCCGCCCCCCGGAGGTAGAAACCGTCGCGGCTCCTCGGACGCCACAACCCAGAGCCTGCTATCGCGGCGCCGCCATCTTGGTATCACATGACTCTCGCCGTAGGCGCCGCGTGACCCGGAAGCGCCCGCCCAGACTTCCGAGCAGGCCCGAAAAAAAGTTGTGAGGAAAACTCCTGGAGGAGACTTTCAAGCTGCTCCTCCCAACCACTGTCCAGAAAGCGAAGCGGAGTGGCGGGCAGAAACGCGCGGGAACAGAATTCTGGGTGCGTGGGGCATTCTGGGAGTTGTAGTTCGCGGTCGCAGTGAAGCGAGCGCCAGGCGGAAGTGGCTGAGAGGGGGGCGGGAACAGGAAGTCGAAGTGCGCGGCCGAGGCGCGGCGGCCTGGGACTGGCGGGCCGGCTGGTGGGGAGGTGTCCCGAGCGCGGGCGGCTCCTGGATTCTGTAGTTTCCTCTCTGTGGGCGCCGGGCGGGCCTCGCTGCAGGCTTCCACGGCATGCGCGGGCCCCCGGGGAGCGGCTGCAGGCGCGGCGCCTTGGAATGATCTTCCCGGTTTCTCGCTTCGCGCTCAGGTGGCTCCGACGACCCGGAGGCCGTGCCTTGTCCCGCGCCACCATGGAAGTGGCTTTCCGAGGCGTGCGGAAAGTCCTCTGTGTGGCTGAGAAAAACGACGCGGCCAAAGGGATCGCCGACCTGCTGTCCAACGGTCGCATGAGGCGGGTAAGAACGTGTTTCCGACCAGTGCGGTCCTCCGCCCCCACCGGGCGGGCCGGCAGCGGGCCCCGGCGCCGAGGCTGTCGGGCCTCCGGCTTCTGGGGCCCCGCCTCCGCTGGGCTCATCTGAGAGTTCCAGGCCCAGGCGCTCCCCCGACTGAGCGGCGCTTTGCAGTGCGGTTAAGACTTCGCTCGTCTGCTGGAAAACGTGGGCTGCGCCTTGCCCTCAGCAGTGTTCCGACACTTGGCGATCGGAACCGCCTGGGCCGTTGCGTACGTGCCTCCTCCGTCGGAAACCCCTGTCTAAACGCCTGTAACGTGCCAGCCCCTGCCGGCCGTCCCCAGTGACCCAGCCCCGCACGCAGTCCCGCACACTGCGGGCCCTGGGAAGCCGACGCTAAGTGCGCGCCCACGGGGCCGTGCTGTGAGCAGGGCCGGGGCTGGGGGTGTAGGTGTCAGCCCCGTCCCCTCTGCACGTTGAGGCCTGGAGACAGTAAGGGATGAGCATGTGTTCAAGCACGGGAGGCCCAAAGGGAAAGGAAGCTAAGGAAAGATGGCATAGGGGAGGTGACAGGGGACCTGAGGAGCCGTTCAGGAGAAGCTCCTGAATGATGACAGTGGGTCTTGAAATGATTTTTCTGAAACACATTTGTAAGAGCATGGGGCAGAAGGTCCCTGTTTTATCTCTTTATAGATCCCAGCGTCCCTAGACCTTGGTTGCTGGGATAGAGGGAAAGGAGAAACTCCAGCCAAGGTTGTTCAGGTGCTGGCTGGAGTCTCTCCTCTTGCCGCCGTCAAACGTCCTGGGACCAGCCCCCAGATGAACCTACTACTTTCAGGAGCGGAGTCTCTTGAGAGTGACTTCTCTGCACCGAACTAACCTCTGTCTTCTTCAAGCGTCTGCTAGATGCCTGCTCTTCAAGGAATCTTCCCGTCGTCGAGCACCACTGGGACCCTTAGTGGTAGCCTGGCCCTGCCCTTCGTTCTTTTACTTGAAAGACACCTACCGGTTACAGTTGAATAATCCTGTGTGCAGTCATTGATTTTGCCTCGCTACTTCTTTTTGTTTTTAAGAGATATTTTTGCTATAGGGCACATGTGCTCGCTTGAGAGACAGAGACAGAAAACAATAAATCACTCCCCAGGGGGGATGGCTATGCTACAATCCCTGCTCGCTCCATTCTCCTCTGGGGATTTTGGGCACACATGCACACACACCGGTATGGCTTGTAAGCTACTGGGTTCAGGACTTGAACTGCGGTGGACTATGTGGGAGTCCAGCGACATAACCATTACACCATCTACTGGTCCTACCCCTGCTCCTTTTAGGACGCTCAGCTCCAAGGGGCAGAGACTGTTAGTTGCTGTATCCCATGCCTAGCATAGTTTCTGAAGTACAGGAGCTTCTCAATCAATACTTGCTGCAGACATGTTGAGGTGATTTTATTTGTGAGCGGGTCAGCAGGCATGGGAAACAATGTGAAGGACAGCCCAGTGGCTCATAATGGCTTTAGCATGTTCAAAGACAATGAGAAGTGGGGCCAGCAGGTGGCTTGGTGCTTAAGGTGCTGGACTCAGGCTGACCGAGGTTCAAGTCTTGGATCTGACGACTTGCTTTCTCATTTTGCCTCTTCTCTCTCAGTCTCTCTCTGGTCAAATTAAAAAGTAATAAATAAAATAAATAATAATTTTAAAAAAAGACAACAGTGGAAGTTAGAAGTGTGGTGTTGGAGGAGGCGGAGAGTTAGCTGGAAAGGCGGTTGGGGGCTGACCACGAAGGGAGTAGGGACCCGTGTAGTGTGTGTATCCATGATTGAGTGTGATAAAATACTCAGTTTTTATCACTTAACCACTCTGAGGTATACAGGGCAGTGGTATTTAGTACATTCACACTGTTACGTAACCATCACCACTAGTTACTGATTTTTATCACCCCCAAAGAAAACGCCTTATTCCTTAAGCAGTCACTCTCTCTTACCCCCTCCTCCCAGCCCTTCACAACTACTAATCTGCTTTCTGTCCCCGCGGATTTGCCTATCCGGGACACATTTCGTATAAATAGTACCATACAACACATGGCCTTTTGTGTCAAGCATCGCTCACTCAGCAGAATGTTGTGATGTTCAGAATGCTTCATCGTGTTGTAGCATATATTAGTTCTTCATTCCGTTTTTCTTCGTCTTTCATTCCTTTTCATGGCCCAGTAATATTCCGTAGTGTGGATAGATAACAGTTCGTATCTCCAACCATCAACTGATGGAGTTAGGTTGTTTCCCTCTTTCTGCTAGTGTGAATAGAGCTACTGTAAACATTCATGTACCAGTCTTTGCTTGAATTTCTGTTTCCACTTCTTTAGGTAAATTCCTAGAAGTTAGAATTACTGGGGCATATGACAACACTATGACTAATCTTTTGAGGAACCACTAAACTATTTTCTACAGTGGATGAAATATTTTACATTTCTACTCGCAATGTTTCAATTTCTCACATATCCTCAACAATACTTGCTATTTTTCTTTTATTTTTTAATCTCTATCAGAGTTTGTTTGAATGACTTCAGTGCTTTCTTAATACAATGTCAAAAACCATTAGATTAGATTTTTTTTTTTTTTGGAGAGGTTTTCGCTATAGGGCGCGTGCGCTCGCCAGACAGACAGAGAGAGACATAGAGACAGAAAACGAGAAATCACCCCCCCAGGGGGGATGGCCACGCCGCAATCCCTTCTCCTCCATTCTCCTCTCAGGATCTTGGGCACGCACGCACACGCGCCCGGCGTGAGTTTTAAGCCACCGGGTCCGGGATGTGAACCGCAGTCGACTACGTGGGAGTCCAGCGACATAGCCATTACGCTAACTGCTGGTTCCCAGATTAGAAAATTTTCTAATACTGAAACCAGCAGATTGTTATGTCACTGGACTCCCTCATAGTTGACTGCAGTTAGAGTTCTGGACCGGACAGCTTCAAACTCAGCCTGGTGTGTGTGCATACGTGCATCCAGAGTCCCAAGAGGAGAACAGAGGAGAAGGGGTTGCAACGTGGCCCCTGAAGGATGACTTCTTGCTTTCTCTCTGTCTGTCCAGTGAGTGCACGTCCCCTAGAGCAAAAAAAAAAAAAACTCTCTCAAAAAATTTTTTTTTTCCTAATACTGAAAAAGCTTAACCAGCAGGCCAGCAGTGTGAAGGCTAAGGCACTAAATCCCACATGGCTTTTTTTCTTTTTTAAATTGCCAGAGATTGCATTCACCAGAAAAGAGGGGAGAGGGGAAAAGCACCCCCAACAGGGGTGATCATGCTGCAGTCCCTTCTTCATCTCCACGACCTGTCCTGATTTCAGGCATGCACGTATGCGCGTGTGCACACACACACACACACACACACACATGCCTATTATGTGTTTCAGGCTACTGGCACCAGGATTCACATCTCAGTCATCTATGTGGGATCCGACTCCCTTAACTATGGTAGCCTCAAACTCTTAATTTTATGATAACTCCTCTCTTAAAATTCAGCATCTTGCCTCAGAGAGCACCTCATTCTTTGTTCCACATAGAAAAATGGTCTTTTTGAAGAAAGGGAAGAATCTGCACTGGTCTTTCTTGGCCCGCGAGCGGTTCCCTGGCTTCCATTCGGCCTTTCTCTCCTCTTCTCTTAGATGCTGGTGCAAAGCTCAGGGGCTTAACTGCTTTTATCCCTCCGTGGAAGGAGGTGGGAGCTCCTCGGGGAGTCTTGTTCATCCATAATTGCAACTGAAGAAGTGCATTGCAGTCTGGATTTCAGTTCTGACTGGGGCTCACAGTGTTGTTGGATTTCAGAGCCAGACAGGACGTCAGAGACAACTTTAATTAGGGATGAGTTGAGGCTCAGGAAGGAGAATGACTTGCCCAGGGTCACCAGTTTATTAGTGCTGTTGTATGGCGGGGTAGTGGCAGAGCTATCTGAAGAGGAAGGAGAAAATTGTCAAGAGACTTATGTCCTAATCCTTCTTCTGCCGTTAATTTGTTATGTGAACTTGGACAAGTTCATTCTCATCTATTAAAAAAAAAAAAGTTAATTGATCTCAAGGTTATCTCCCACCATTAAAAACTTCATGGATTCTGTCAAATTGATGCTTGATAACTGTTTTGAGGGACCACTTAATAATGGTCTTAGTAATCTAGCCCAATTTTTGCCTTTTTTTTTTAAAGAGTTCTTTATTTAATTTTATTTGTTCACTATTATTATTATTTGTTCAGCAGAAAGAGATAGAGGGAAAATGAGGAAGGAAGCCTGCAGGGCAGTGTCTTAGCAGGTGCCACCACTGCTGGGCCTACGGTGGCATTTTCATATCTCCACTCATCACGGTTTTGCGCTATCTTTACACTGAGGAGTCATTTGAGGTTTTCTTTCTTTTTGTTTTGTTTTGTTTTTGAATTTCTATTCATTTATTTTGGCTTTATTTTATAGAGAGAAGGACTTTCTAAATTCAACAAGATCTACGAATTTGATTATCATCTGTATGGCCAGGTAGGTGCTAAAATATTTCTATCATAAAGCTAAAGTGTGTCAACATCCATGTGCCATTTTGGTGTATATTCCTTAGTTTTCAGCTATACCTAAAAAGAGCAGCTGTTTAAAGTCTCTCTAAATTACTTGTGTTTTAGAATTACTTAAACAAAAATTGGTACCCAGCCATGTGTGGAGTATGTCACTGTCTTAAAAGTATTGTTAAAAAGAAGTTGAACAACAACAAAAAAGTAACTATTGTTGGGTCCAGCAGGTAGATTCCCATGCTGGGGTCCCACGTGGCTGGCTGTGGTTCTATTCCCAGACCCAGCGTGCCCAAAATCCTGAGAGAGGAGTGGAAGAAAAGAGATTGCAATCACCCCATTGGGGTGATTCCTCACTTTCCCTTTCTGTCTGTCTTTGTCTCTTGCTGGCAACCACATGCACCCTGTAACAAAACAAAATTTAGAAAGAATAACTATTGTTATGACCCCAAAATCCCTGGTTAGAGGTGATAATTTTATAGTTTATAAGGAAGTCTTTTTTTTTTTTTAATGAAAATATGTCTCATTTTTGCTCTTTAATGACTAGAAGGACCCTAATATGAAGTAGTCAGAGGAAATTTTAAGTGATACAAAAGCCATCACATTATTAGAATTAGAACATGCTTTTGGGGACTAGCATATCGAATAATGGTTACGTCGCTGGACTCTGATGTAGTCGACCACAGTTCAAGTCCTGGACCCAGCGGCTTAAAATTCATGCCTGATGGCGTGTGCATGCATGCCCAAAATCCCGAGAGGAGAGTGGAGGAGAAGGGATTGCGGTGTGGCCATAACCTCCTGTGGCGCGGGCTGATTCCTCGCTTTCTGTCTCGCTGGTGAGCACATGCTCACTATCTCTTAAAAAAAAGGAGATGCTTTTATTACTATGGTTTTTAGCTTGAAGAGCTACATTTATGTTCATTTCTTACTAATTAACTGGGGGGCTTTTGTCATTCTTGTTTTTTCAATTGAAGTTCCTTCCTTTGATTTGAATAATTTGGCAGATACCGCTGCAGGAAGTCAAACGTTACTCTTGCTGTCTTTCAGAATGTTGCCATGGTAATGACTTCAGTTTCTGGACATTTGCTGGTGCACGATTTCCAGATGCAGTTTCGGAAATGGTCAGTACAATTCCTGGGTGGACTTTCTGAATGTAACTTAAGTTGCGAAACGCTACAGGACTTTTGAAGCATGTTGACCTTACTGTGTAAGTTACAATACAGAGATGACCCAGGGTTATCTGAGTCTTCATCAGTGTCTGTCACTCGCTCTCAGTAGCCATTTTAGCTGTTCCCCCAAGTAGGCAGACCTTTTCACTTAGCCACGGATTGCATTTTCCTATTGCACATGTGTGTGCAGGGGTTCCAGAGTGTCATCTACTGTTAATCATCAGGGGGAAGCAGACAGTGCTGACACAGGGTTGTGACCTTGCTTTTAACCTGGGACTTTCTGGGCTTCTCCCACGAGTCCACTGGAGCAGTGGGTTCTTAAATAGAGTTCTCCTCCATCGTGTGCTGAAGTGGAACTCTGTGTCTTCATTTCTTTTCTAGGCAGAGCTGCAACCCCCTTGTCCTCTTCGAAGCAGAAATTGAAAAATACTGCCCAGAAAATTTTGTAGACATCAAGGTAGGGTCTTTCAGAAGGTGTGTGGCACTGAAGTATAGCATCAGTCATGGTGTTAATCAAATTGAGGGGGCCGGCAGGTGGTGTGGAGGTTAAGGGTGCTGAACTCCCACATGGCCGACCACGGTTTGAGTCCTGAACCTGGCGACTTGCTTTCATTTTCCTTCTCCCTCTCTTCCTCTCTGGTGAAATTAAAATAAGTAAATAAATAAATAAAGCTAAATAAAATAATTTTTAAAAAACCAAATTGCGTGGCTTCTGTATTTCGTAAACTTATTTATTTAATCTTATTTATCATTATTATTATTGTTTAATTTGCTATTAAGGCACACATGCTCACCAGAGAGAGAGGGAAAAGAGAAACTGAGAAATCTAGTCATCAGGTCTGGGACTTAAGGACATATGAGAGTCCAGAAGCTTAACCACCACGCCACCTGCCGACCCCAAGACTTCTGTATTTTTAAGGCCTTGAAATTTGAAGAATCCTTTTCCATCAAAATCAGTACCATGATGAAATGTTATTTCCACCCATTATTAAATGAGGTTATTTAAAGTAAGCAACCAAGGAACTGAAGTAAGTCTTTATGAGCAGTAATTGTTTCAGTAAATCCCAGGAATAAGTATTGTTAAATTATTACTGGGTCATCAGAAGAGTCATGATGCGCTTTCGCATTGAAAGACAAATTACTTCGTGACTTTGGCGACAGCCCAGTAGTTCTGCTCCCACCGTGTCTGGCTAGACTAAGGCGGCCACAGTGTGCAGATCGTGGGCCATGTGTTGTCGCTCTCAGGCAGTCAGGGCACTGGAGTTGGATCACTGCTCACCGGGAAATCTGGAGATGCAGCTCAGTTAGGGTTAGTTCTTACATCAGGACGTAACCAGAGCCACTAGAGTTAGAAGTGTGCGTGAGAGCTGAGTTTTAAGCGCCCTCGGATTGATGAGTTACATGAAGCCCTCAGTCTTGTAGAAGCCCCCCTGGGTCTAGAGGATTGGGCTTGGGCTCTCACCATCGCTGGTCTTTTTCCCCTCGCAAACTCGGCACATTCCAGCGCCCACTCTTCAGTGAGATCTGTTCCACACAGAGGTGTCAAGTAGTTACTCTGGGTTCTGCTCTAACTGCTCTTTCTCCTCTGAACTTCAGAAAACTCTGGAACGAGAGACACGGCAGTGCCAGGCTCTGGTGATCTGGACTGACTGTGACAGAGAAGGCGAAAACATCGGGTTTGAGATCATCCACGTGTGCACGGCAGGTGAGGGCCCCCGCACTGCGCTTCTCTTCGGGTCCCCGTGTAGCGCTGTCCCCGTGGGCTGGGCCGAGTTCCTCAGCAGATGCTCTCCCTCCTGAATCAGGCTGTGTGCCTTGGAGCAAGTCACCGAACCCTGGGAGCCTTGAGCTCCTCACCGGCCAGGGCAGGCCAGTCACCGAACCCTAGGAGCCTTGAGCTCCTCACCGGTCAGGGCAGGCCAGTCACCAGACGCTGGGAGCCCTGAGCTCCTCACCGGCCAGGGCAGGCCAGTCACCGAACCCTAGGAGCCTTGAGCTCCTCACCGGTCAGGGCAGTCAGGGCAGGCCAGTCCGACGTGTTGCCTGGGGCTGCCCTGGACTACCGAGGCTGTAAACAGTGCAGGCTACTTAGCCCATGGCTCTTTGCTTGTGGGTACAAGCAGATGACCAGATCCTAATCTCTGATTACACTCTATTTTTTAATTACATATTGAATATTGCAAAAGAAAATATCTGCTGTAAATAAAGTACAAAAGGTTCTAAAATGCTCTGTTTGTGTTTTTCAACCTCACATACTTATACAGTACCTAGCTATACACTAACGATCGTTGCCATGAATTTGAATGGCTCTAACTTGGTTAACGATCCCAGCTAACTAGGAGCGATGAACCAGCCATTCTCCAAACCAAACGGGGTTGCTATTTTCTCTGAGTTGTTTTGTGTTGAAAACTGTAATGACTCCTGGGGATTTAATGCATTAGCTTTCAAGGATGATGTGTATGTCCTGTGTCCTTTCCTGAAAGGACATGAAATTTCTCCACAGGGATCATTGTCAGCCTTTTCCATAATGGCCTGAGAGAGTAAATAAAATGAAAAGTCACAAAAGAGAATTTTAATTAATAGCTGAAATTCTCTCCTCCATTCACCCCCAGGGATGGTCATGCCGCAATCCCTTCTCCTCCATTCTCCTCTTGGGCACGCACGCACACGCGCCCAGCGTGAGTTTTAAGCCACCGGGTCCAGGACACGAACCACGGTCAACTATGTGGGAGCCCAGCGACATAGCCATTACGCTAACTGCTGGTTCCCTCCTCCATTATTTCTGACAACACTCAGTTCGCAGGTTATAGTGAGGGGCTAGCAGATGGCATAGTGGTTGCATCACAGAACTCCCACATGGCCGACTGGTTCAAGTCCGGGACCAGTACCTTGAGACTCACCTTGGGCATGCGTGTGTGCGTGCCCAGGATCCCGGAAGGAGAGTGGAGGAGAATGGGTTGCATTGTGGGCATCCCCTTGGTGGGCGATTTGTCACTTTCCCTCTCTGTCTCTGTCTCTCTCTGGTGAGCACATACACCCTAGGGGAAATTTTCTTAAGTAATAAGTAAAGGTCATAGTGATGCATCATTCTTAGACATTCCATGCCATTCGCTTTTATTTTTAAGAATGATTTTTATTTAACTTTATTTATTTTAATTTGATGGGGAGTGGGGATGGGAGGGAGAAAAAGAAAAAGTGAGAGAGCAAACCACCAGGTCTGGGACTTGAACTGGGGTTAACCATGTGGGAGTTCAGCGCCCTTACCCACCATGCCATTCCTTTAAGGTAATAAGTAAATTATGCCTCACAGCTCTTTGAACTGGTTCACCTTTATTTCAGGGTGGCTTAAGAGTGAGCCCTTGGGGCCAGCAGATGACATAACATTTACGTTGCTGGACTCCCACGTAGTCAACCGTGGTTCGAGTCCCGGACCCGGTGACTTAAAACTCACGCTAGGTGCATGTGCACAGTTCCCAGAATCCTGAGAGGAAAATGAAGGAGTAGGGATTCCGGCGTGGCCATCCCTCTGGGCTGTGATTTCTTGCTTTCTGTCTCTCTGTTTCTCTGTCTTTCTGGCGAGCACACGTGCCCTATACCCAAAAAAAAAAAAAAGAAAAGAGAAAAGAGTGCTCCCTTAATGAGAGCCTCATGATTTGATTTACTCCTGCTGCTTCGATGTGTCGTGCAGTGAAACCCAGTCTGCGGGTGTTGAGAGCCCGTTTCTCTGAGATCACGCCCCATGCTGTGAGGACAGCCTGTGAAAACCTGACCGAGCCTGATCAGAGGGTGAGCGATGCCGTGGACGTGAGGCAGGAGCTGGACCTGAGGATCGGTGAGGAGCTGCTTGGACCCCTCCCTGACCTGCACAGCACCTGGTGTTGGTGAGGGGGCTGACCGCGCAGTCCTGTGTGAGTGTGTGCGGTCAGCTTTGAGCTCCTCGTCCACCATTTACCTCCTCCCTCCCTCCCTTCCTCTGAACCCCGCCGTCCCCCGCCGTCCAGGAGCTGCGTTCACCAGGTTCCAGACCCTGCGACTTCAGAGGGTTTTCCCCGAGGTGCTGACAGAGCAGCTCATCAGTTACGGCAGCTGCCAGTTTCCGACACTGGGTTTCGTGGTGGAGAGGTTCAAAGCCATCCAGGCCTTTGTGCCAGAAACCTTCCACAGAATTAAAGGTACAGCTGGGGTTGGTGGAGTGGGACCAATGGCCTGGAAACGGCCAGGGGACTGTGGAGCTTTGAGAGTGCTCAAAGAGACCGCTTTTTAGTGTTCCCCGCCCTTCATCCTGGCCTGTTATCAGACTCCACTTAAAGTCTTCTTAGTAATCCAGAAACTTGTCTGTTTTATATACCTTTGACTTCCACTGCAATATGCTTCTTTCTTTCTTTTTCCAATTTTTAGGGCGTGTGTGCTTGCCAGAGAGAGACAGAGACAGAAAGAGAGAGGGAGAAAGGGAAATCGAGAAATCACCTCCACCCCCAGTTAGAGGACGGTCATGCTGCAATCCTTTCCCCTCCGTCCTCCTCTTGGAATTTGCGTGCACCCTCCGCGTGATTTTCAAACCACCAGGTCCTGGACGCAAACCATGAGCTTGCGTGTGATCCATCTGCCTTAACCTCCACGCCACCTGCTGGCCCTGGAATATACCTTGTTACGTTTGTCATACCGTGTGGCATTTTGAAGTCACAGATTTTCTGTTTCCTTCTCCCTGACAGTAAATCATGACCATGAGGATGGCATTGTAGAGTTCAACTGGAAAAGGCATCGCCTCTTTAACCACACGGCTTGTCTTGTCCTCTATCACCTGTGCATGGAGGTAAGAAGTGGGCTGCGATCGCAACGGTGCAGGGAGCATTCTGCACACTTCCCAAGCACTGTCAGCAAGGCGGCCCTGTCCCCTTCTCCCCTGAACTGTATTAGCTTCATGTGCGTCTCAGGGCATCATTGTTGGAGAGCCAGTAAGACCAGACCCCCATGAAAACAACACTAAACACGTGGAAGGGACTGCGACCTGCAGTGCTGCAGTGGTTATGTCACTGGATTCCCACATGGCTGACTGTGGTTTGAGTCCCAGGCCCAGTGGCTTGAAACTCACACTGGGTGCATATGTGCCCAAGATCTCTTTATTTCTCTGTCTCTCTATGTCTCTGGCAAGCACACATGCCCTACCGCAAAAATCTCTCTGTAAAAAAAAAAAGGAGAAGGAAGGGAAGGATCTGAGGAGCCAGCAAGTGATGTAGTGGTTAAGGCACAGAACTGTGTGGCTGACCACAAGTGGTCCTGGACCTGGCAGCTGGAAACTCACTAGGCTCATGTGCACACATGCCCAAAATCCCAAGAGGAGAATGGAGGAGAAGGGATTGTGGTGTGGTTATCACCCTGAGGGGGGTGATTTCTCACTTTCTACCTCTCTGTTTCTGTCTCTGGTGAGCGCACATGCCCTATAACAAAAATCTCTCAAGAAAAAAAAAATCAGAAAATTTGAGACACGTAGCTGAAATCCCTCCCTAAGACATGTTTCTGTCACCAGACATTAGCAGGGATCAGCTCTGCCTGTCTCGATCAGAGACTCCGAGAGCTGCAAGGGTGTTTAGACAGCCTGGCCCAGCCCCGGGTCACATAGAGATGATAGTCACAAAAAGATGAACAAGTTCGTGTACCTGGTGATGAACGCCAGGAGGAAACACGGCAGGAGAGATGAACAAGTTCGTGTACCTGGTGATGAACACCAGGAGGAGACGCGGCAGGAAAAGGGGATAGAAAACGGCCTGGGCAGGTGTGGACTGCCCTGGTGGTCCTGGAAGGCTGCTCGGGCCGGGTTTGTCGGGAGTTAGATGGAGGCAGCCAGGGCAGGGGCACGGGCGGGTCGGAGCCTGCCTTCTGTGTCTGGCCCTCGGGCTGGCTGTCTGCTCAACAGCGCTGCTTGCTGTGGCTTAACCCCAGGCTGCAGCGTGGTGCCTAAGTGGGATTCGGACCTTGCCAGGTTGGGTACTTCCTGGTGTGCTTGGCTACGGCCCTGCCAGATTGATTACCAATTCGGTTTGATTATTAGTTTGAGCACCTTTTACGGGCCAGGTGCACTTTGTTATGTTATTTTGTTCAATCCTAATAGTGCTGGAGAAAGTGAGGTCACGGGCACGCTGCAGTATTAGGTGCCTGACCAGGCTTGGATCCCAGTGCGTCTGTGCTGCTCCCGGGGTCGCCTCACCTGCCCCCCCTGCACCCTTTGACCCTTTGACCCTGCACCCCCAGGGTCCCCGTGGCACTGCTCATTTATCTGTCATAGAGATAACTGTGACACAGACATGTGCTGTGGCTACATGAGCTCCCTGGAAAGAACAGCTGGACCCCCGTCTGTTAGGAGGGAGACACTTCAGTTTTGATATCCAAATATCCTCTTTAGCAAATCGCTTCATCTTAGGACTTTATTCATTTCTATCTTAGAAGTAGGAAGTTGTTTTAAATATTAGAATTCTCTAGCTTGTAGGGCCAAAAACTGGCATGGTGGTTAAACGTTCTGGACTCCCACATGGTTGACCATGGTTCAAGTCCTGGACCTGGTAGCTTACTTTTTCACCTTCCTACTCTCTCTGTCATTTTTTCTCTCTGGTCAGATTTTTTAAAAAGATATAGAATACAGGACCAGCAGTTAGCATAATGGCTATGTCACTGAACTCCCATGTAGCCATCCGCGGTTCC